TTAATTCACTTAACTCGATTTTTTTAAAATGCTGAGTTTAGAACACAAATCAGATGGTGATAACTTACTTGGCCCCTAACCAGGATCAAGGTTTACCGTTCATATTAATGACACGTTTTTGTGAAAGTGTGATATAGTCTGCATTTTTAATACTTTGTATGGCACAACAGAAAATGCCACAAAAACTGTAAACCTTAAAACTGACTATGAAAAGTCAGTCTGTGATTGGAGTTTGTCTTTAGTAATTTTGTGTGACTATACATTATTACATTAACTTCTCCTGATATCCAAATAGCACCTAAGCTGCTTCTTCTTCACCCGTTCACACGTCAACATCACTCTTTTTAGAAAGCGGTATAAAATCAGCTTTCAGACATTGTGTAGCAGCGAACAATCAAATGTAAAATGCTGTATTTTCCTCCACTTCATTAAAGAGCTGTAGCATCACACACCTGCAGCAACAGCATCTATACTGTCCCCATATTGCAATAGGTGCTGTGAGCATTTTATGAACATAACACAGGAGTAGTAAATTAATTTATTATTTTAATATTCTGACTTTCCATTGTGATCTTATGTAGCCTTATTACATCCCTCTCTCTCTATAGCAAATTGCTTCACTGCTTCAGACTCACAGTTTCTGCAGTGAAATCATTCTGAACAAAACTCCCACTCAGGATGAATCCAATGGCACTAGAGTTACATTTTTAATTTCAGCTAAATCCAAATATTGTTTCCCCTGGAGAATCATCACATTTTTTCCTCTACCATATCAAGTGGATTATTGCAGATAGTTTAGTTTTGCTGCTTAAAAGCAGCTTGCAGTAGTGGCACGGCTGGATGCATGAAATTGATCTAACCACTCTGTGAATTAAAAAAGGGGTGGGCAACAGACAGACAGTTGACCCAGTAATGAAAACAATTCACTATACTGTAACACAGCCCCCATCCCACTGCTCACAATTTAACCCCTGTTAAATTGTCCAAATGCAAGTGTTTTACATCAAATATAATAATATCGAAACTTAGTCTTCCTATGATAGAAATACAATACTGTAATTCTTTTTTGTGAGTTCAAGTTTGAAGATAACTGTAAGGAAGGTGACCTCATAATAGAGCAAAATTAAGATACAAAAGGGGTGTTTATTAAATAGGCTCATGAAGTTGATTAGATTTTTTGTAGAATGTAAGCAGCGGGTGTGGGACACACAACCCCCTTATGTCAGGGCATCTTCATATAGAAATGAATAAAATAGCCAAACAATGAGAAAAACGTGGTTTTATCATGCAACACAGTTGATGAGAAACCTGTAAAAAGCCAGTTTAGGTTTTTCCGAGACCTTAGAAATGCCTCGATTAATTCTCTCCTGTTGATTGTTGAATCACAACAGGAATCGACAGCAGCAATGTGCATTTCACCCTGTGATCAACACCAACCCGCAGGTGTCACTGCACTGCACCGGGACAGCCCCTGTGAATTATGGCAGGGTTCAGAAGTTCAAAAGAACACGAGTTCAGTGGTTGCCAGAGGGTCTCTGCTGTGGGGAAAAGCACAATTTACAATCAACGCTCATGTAACAGAACATATTAGATCAGGCTCCATGTGCTGCTGTGGTTTCAGGAACAAAGATGGCGAATTAAGCCCCGAGCACAGATGTAGACATACACGTACACAAAGCTATATAGACTAACAAATAAGATACAGTTGCAGACAAACACACACGCACACACACACAAACACATTCCCATGAACCTATTACATTCAATAAATCACCTACTAATGGCAACACAGGAAGCTAATACTGCTTCCATCTTTTTAGCTTGTTATTGTGCTGTGATTCACCTGTGTACAGTTTCTAATAGTGGGAAGAGTTCCAGTCATATATCACCGAGTTAGCATTGTGAAAGTTCATGGCAGTGTTTGCTGTGTTATTGTAGTAATAAATGTTACAAATTGGGTCCCCTAGAACGTTTCATTCTGCCTTAATCCAAGGTTGCATAGTCATTTCTTATAACATAATGAATATTAAGGAAAAGCTAACCTTGACAGTGAGAGGTGAGGAAAATCAAAGATAAAGAGACGCAGTATTATAGTGTTAGCCTTTAAGAAGAAGAGTGACACAGCGCTGTGTGAGTGGTATTAAAGAGGTGTTGGTAAGAAAAAAATATAGCAATGTAACAGTGAAAAAAGTATATTCTGTCTGTTCTCTAGATAACATGTTTTTTATTTATTCGTTTTTAACTGCAAAGTTATTAACCTAGCTTATGTTTTGTGTTTATTTTTTCCCTCTCAAATGTTGCACAGGAATCATCAGGACTGCCTTAGCTAACATGGATCGAGAAGCCAGGGAACATTACACTGTTGTCATCCAAGCCAAAGACATGGCAGGTCAAGTTGGAGGCCTCTCTGGTTCCACCACCATCAACATCACACTGACAGATGTCAATGACAACCCGCCCAAGTTTCCCCAGAGTATGTACAATGCACCTGAAGATGATGTTTGACCTAACAAAGTTCAGTACTATTTTAAGGGGCATTATAGTAAATTATTATGCTGCAGAACTGACCTCCTCCAATTGCATTTGTGCTGGAATATCGTGCAATTCCATTTAGGAGATTGGATGGCAGCGCATTTTAAACTGGCAAACTAGCCACAAGGTGAATGCACAGTAGTTAAATAACCAGTGCCAATGTTGACATCTTACTTTGCTTATCTGAATACATTAGCTTCTGCTGCATTGCATGACCATGCAGGCTTGGCCTTGGGCAGAAGACTTACAACACACCTGCCTGAGGCAGTTACATTAAAGAGGCATTTATAAGAGGAAGTTTCCACTGTATTTTAAGTGTGTTACGTTAAAGGGAAGGCGTTTCTAAAAGTCCTAATGCGTTTGCACAGGAAACACGGGGCTGTTTTTCTGCAGCATATATTGTCATTTCATACTGTAAATTTCACCAACTCAGCAGTCGTCACTGTGATGAATGATACTTGTTTTGTAACTGTGTATCCTCACATTGGTGTCGAATTTTCCATAATTAGCTGTTTAAATTAAATGAGCATTTCATCAAAACCCTGTGTTTTGCAGTCTGAATTTTCTCAATTATAATGATAAATTTAAGTAATGACAAAGTTGTGATTCTTTGTCTTTGGAAGTGCCTCATCAAGTATAATCCCCCTCGGCTCGGAGTTTTTTCCATTTGTGCTGCAATGAAAAAAAAAAAAAAGACCATCAACATTTTCTGAATAATCATCTGCCTCTGAGTTTGATGTGCTCCACTGCAGCGCTATCAACCTAAGTTTCTCATTTAATGACAATTGAAACACAGCAAAATATTTTTAATTACATTCCCCGAGGAACAAGTGGTTACACATTAGAATTGCTTAGCTAAGGCCTTTTAGGAGAATACTCAGACAAGTGTATGAGGCAGAGCAGGCAGATTATGTGTTTAAAATTGTTCTGCTGTCTCTAAATGGATACGCATCAATGTTCATCCACAGAAAACTACCAGCTCTACGTTCCTGAATCAGCTCAAGTAGGGAAACCTGTAGGAAAGATCAAAGCCAATGATGAGGACCTTGGCGTCAATGCAGACATTCGGTACAGCATCATCAATTCAGAGGGGGCCAACATGTTCTCAATTTCTGCAGACAGAGACACGAGGGAAGGAATCATCAGCCTAAAAAAGGTAAGTGCATTCTCACTTTAGTGCTTTGAACATTTGCTTAAAATGTCGTTAGAACATAGACCATTAGGATAAAATCCTCATATCACAGATCTATCACATGCAGTGTTGTAATAGCATATAGGGACAACTGATTTATGCACTAATTTCACCACAAACAGTTGTGTTTGTGGAGTTGGTCCAGAAAGCGTGTTGTTGTTTGGAATTAATGAGTCAGCTTTAGGATTTTTTAAAGTGGGCTTGTACTATTTACCAGCAGGTAAATGAAGCTGTTATATGAATCTCTTCAAAACCACTAGATGGTTATTTTACCCAGCAGAAAACAACCAACTGAAGAAGCAATAAAGTAGAAACTCCTTTGGTCTGTGAGGTAAAATAATCCCTTCTGCTATAACAGTCTCACTTT